GCCGCGGGGGCGGTCGCGGCGGCGGTAGGAAAGGCTCGCAGATGTCCAGGGCACCTAAGCTGCGGGACTCGGGGGATGAGGGAGAGGGGGTGGGGCCTCGCATGCCCGAAGACATTGAAGAGCTGGTTCAACACGACGCGCCCGTGGACACGACACGATAATTCTTCCTCGAATACGACGAACAGGGCTTCGCCAGGCAAGACGTCCAAGTTGTTAACATCGACGTTAATAGGATCAAACCCATTCCCCGTGGGAAGATCCTTTTTAACCACCATTCGTTGTCTGAGAACATTGTGAGAGGCATCGAGAGTGCCATAGAAATCTCCATAAGTGCTGACTCGGGGGTGTAGAATAGACCTGAGCTCGTTCTTGCGCCGGTTGACCCCAACGTCATCGTCGGGGAGCAAGGAAGGCGAATCACGTCGGACGAGTTCTTCCAAAGAGATTCTGTAGAGTTCGGCTGGTACGCTGTCTGCGGTCAGCATACTGCCGAGGCCATGAAACGGTTGGTTGGAAAGGACTCCCCCGCGGTCAAAGTCTACGCCCTCCGCACGTACTCTAAAGTGCGAGTCGTCTTTTTCGATGATGACCACACACGCGGGTACTTCAATGTCTCCCTCTTCGACAACACACGGGAGAATTGCGCCATGATGTTATCCTTCCAGGACGCTGTGCGTGATATGCGGCAATGGTGGATCGACAACAACAGGATCGAGGCACCCAAAGCTAAGGTCAGCGAGAAGGATGCCGTCGTCGTTGCGCATTAGAAAATGTGGCAGAACTTCCTGAGGGTCTGCATTGGGAAGGCGTGCGACAAGGCGTTCATGAAACAGGCACTCGACAACGAATACAACAAGGATTGGAGTAACAAACTTCGGGGGTACCTGAACCTTGCCACGTCCACCCGCACGGTTTGGCCGCTGGTGGAGTTCTTCGCGATGTTCGAGGAGGTTAAGCTGCCAATCGGCGACGGCAAGATCCCACTTGAGATGCCGGGGAGGATGGAGGGGCGCCTGCCCGGCCCGTACACTAACGAGAACAAGGGACAACGGACTTTGTAACACTGCATATATGCGAGAGATGGTCCCAAATGCTCCACCGTGTACTGGAAGAATTTGTGTCCTACGTACTTCAAGAACTTCGGGGACATGCTATGCCGCGAGAGAGAAGTTGCGCTACTCCTGCTCATGTCGGGGAAAGTGGTGGCAACAAAAAAGAGAGTCACGCCTCCGAGGGTGAACACAGAGTGCCTCCTCGACATTATGCGCAAGGAGAGATACATGGTCTGCATGTTCAACTACGTCGTGTTTCGCGCCGAGGGAAGGGCAGGGGACGAATGGAACGACGACTTCTTCATGCCGTACAAGGACCTGGAAGAGAGGTATGTTTTAAACGGGTTATGCGCAGATGAATGGGAGAAGCAACGGGAGAAGCTGCATAGCAACTTAGTGAAGACGATCCCTCGGCGACTTGGAGGAGTGGAGGAGGCGAGGCGAGGTGCGGGTTTGGGGCCTACAGAAGTGATGTACAAGGAGGCTCCGTTTCACTTCAAGGTCTTTATATACACAACGATCGATAAGCTCGATATGCTTTGAGCGGAGGTGAAACGGATCGCCTCTAGTGCACGCCATTTTGTGTGGGACAAACACGGCAGGCAGACCACATTGCTTCCTGTATGCATGCGGTCAAAGGAGGTTATGGCGGCGCCCGTCGACATCGTCGCAGCCGCACAAAAAATGGCATGCAGGGCCGCCATCGTGGACATCTCGACCGCGAATTTCAGCAGTGCATGGACCTCGCAGGACTTGGATGCAGTGTACGCAATGATGACGAAGTGTTGTGGTCTAAATTGGGTCCTCTTCTTCTTTGCACCGCAAAATGTGCAAAGCGATGTCTTGCATCAATTGTACCGTTGGGAGGACATTGAGCTCATCCCCGGGTCATTGAAACGCGTGGATAGGCCGCCGAGCGACGTCACAAGGTACGGCAACATCGCTACGAGCAGTCGCGACCTGATGACGATCGTGCTGCACGCTGAAGGAGGGGATCTGAAAAAAGTAACTGCCCAACCCTGACTTCAGAACGATCTCACCGAAGTGCATGTTGTGGAGGAAAAGTTCGAGAAAGGGTTTCGAAAAACACGGTGGTGTCGAAGGCGACGAAAGTGCCGCATATTCAATTTGGGAGCGAGAACCTGGCAAGTTGCGGAAGTTGTGCAGTTCGTTCATAGGAGAGGCGGAAGGTGTGCTTTTGCTGGGTAGGGCGCACGCAGGTCTTGTATGAAAGTTCTTGCTTGCAGGTAATAATGTCATTGCCTGTGACGAGTCGGCCAAGGACATTGCATATTTGACAAAGTTCGTCGACATACTTGTTAAGGATGGGAGATTCGAGTGCCGCCTCGAGAAGCCGCGTGCCACACATCGCACGAACAGGGATATGTACCATTAGTTGGGACCGAAAAGACTGAAGGTGTGGGAATACCTGTTCCGCGATGCACCGGATGAACGCCTTGATGGGGGATACGTATATAGGAAAGCCAAGGTGACCGAGGCCCTCAAACATTATCACGGTGCTCTAACTGGCGCCTTCGAGACATTCGTTGCTCGATGCGAGATCTTGAGGTTTGATCTTCACAAAGATAAACTGACGTTTAAGGACTATGCAGACCTCGCTAAATCGGGTGAAGGCTTTAACCCCGTTAACAGCGAGGAAGACTCGTCGGACTCCGGCCTCGAGATCGAAAAGGACACCAATGCAACCGTGTGGTGTGGGAAGTCCGCTGCCATGGAGCACATCGTGAAGGGATATGAACGAGGTCAATCAGAGGGATGCTCGAACCTGCCACCCACGAACAGTGTGGCCTCAGGTATGGACCGAGTTGTATGTACGCCTATGGAAGACGACGAAGACGATGACCTTGATATTCCTGCTCAGCCAACGAAGCTGGCGCCGGGCGATCCGATTCCTCCCAGATTTTGTGCGGATCCAAACAATGTGTATTTCTTAGATGACAAATATTCCTACACTACTGAGGATAAGTGGGCCCATGATATCATTTGGCATGACGGCATTTTCGAGCCATGTATCCAAGGCCGGGAGTGGAAAATGGCAGTGAAGTATGTCTCGAAGGGTTGGAGACCGTATGCCCGCATGGGAAAGGACAGTTGCTTGAAGACGACGGAGCAATCAATACTATACCGCTGTCCGAAAGAGAATCCCGGGGAGAAAGAAACATCCATCGTGGCAAAGGCGAAACAATTGTTCAACGCATTGGGAGCCACGCGGCAGTTAGAGTACTCACACAAGTTTTACGAGCTGCAGTCGAACCCCTCGTACGGCAAGATTGACTGGAAGGTTGAGCGCACTGCCGCGCTCGAGAGCATGGACTTGGACTCCCGAGAAGATGTCGCCTCTGTGCCCGAGGCGACCACAGGGAACACGATGGGTGAACAAAGGGAAGATGGCGGGACGACGTTGGGCGTGAAGCCTCTGTTGCCAGAGGCGGGGAACACGCCCGCAGGCAAAAACACCATCGGAGTCATCTCTGTCGCAACGGGAGATACATCACAAGGTGAAAAAGTGTCACTCGACAAGGCGGCGGATGCGGGCGCCACATACGGGAGTCTCCTCGCGACAAGTACGGCCCTGGCAGGAACGGAGGAGATGGTGTCAGAGTCCACTGCTAAGATGGGCATCACGGGGATGTCGTTGCATCCGCCCACATGCACTAGCAAAGGTGACGCACACTGTACAACAACACCACAGGGAGGGGTCACAGGGGATGACGGGAATGGGGGAAATGCAGGGGGGTCTCCAGGTTCTCGCAATATTGAGGACATGACGAAGGATGATGAGGATAGGGTAGAAGGCGGAAAGGGCGTGAGCGATCCCACGCGTGCAAAAAATGAGGGGTGAGACAATGAATGAACTTCAGGGGAATCCTCTTCGCGGGGAAATTATCATGTTTTTGTGTGTGTGCTCATTTGTTTGAAATCTGGGTTTGTGGGCGAAATTTGTTCCTGTGTACAATCGACCTATAGACTCATTAGTGTTCAATTTCCGGGATTTGACCTTTTAATTGTTGACAAGAAAATTGTGTGGTGAACAAGAGTGTGTCGTAGTATGTGTGTGTGTCTCTCTATATCCGTCAATATGCTGCGTTCTGTATATGTATGTATGCCGTTGGGGTACGGTGATGAAAGGGGGCAGGAGTCAGGATTAATTGGTCCCGAAGTGTTGTCGTCCATCTAAGTGTAAGTTTAGCGAAACATTGATCACGTATCTTGAATACATCATTTTCGTTTAGCATGTTATACTAAGGCACTTGCCCATTTACAAGAATCTCAAATGGTCGCCCTCCCCGTTTTTTACACCGCTCGCCCACCCATTTCTTACTTTCCTGTAAGGGTGACCATTTTTTTACACCCCTGTCCGCCTCGGTCACCGTTGTTTAAACCCCCGTCGATGTCGTATTCGTCGTGTTTGTCGTGTGCAGTGCAAATTACAACAACAGATACAAGAAAGTGCAAAAAAGGGTGAACAATGCGCCTCGCAACATCGTCTTTATCAGAGAAGGAGATGAAAGTACTCTCACATGTAAGCCGGGAGTACGGGAAAAGGTTCCCAATAGCGAGCATACACAATCATGGGACGAACGAAGTATTGAAGCTAACTCGAGACGAATTTATTTTACTAGTCGACGAGCGGAACTGGTTAAATGACAACGTCGTCAACTTCTACCTGAACCTCATCGCACTAGACAACTGGTGTAGAATCACACACGTAGAATGCGACGCCGAGAAYGAAACCGTGATTAGAATCGGAAAGGGTCGCATTCCTAGAATATCAGTGTTGAGCTCGTTTTTCTTCGCCAGACTTTTCGACAGCGAAATGAGATATCAAGAGCGAGAGGTGCAGCACTGGTCAAATGACATTATAATAAGTGACATGGACTTGATAATTGCCCCTTTCCATATCGCACACGCGAACCACTGGACCCTCGTTGTGGCTGACTTCAGGAGGAGAAAATTCAAATTTTACGACCCCCTCAGTCACGACAAAGAACGAGCAGCCAAAGTGACAAGCGGATTTGCAAAGTTTTTGTTTAAAAGATTTATTCAGCAAGGCAAAGAGGTGGACACGAAACCGTTTAATCACATATAGACCGTAGAGGGCATCCCGAAACAACGTGACACTAGCTCGTGTGGGGTCTTCATGCTCGAATACGCATCGCTATTGGCAAGGGGTCACTTTCCACCTTTCTCTTTCACCGCTGATGACATACCCGCAATACGTCGTCGAATGGCTTTGGACACAGGGGCTCGCGAGTAGTATGAACCTGCTGCTAGATATTGTGATTACATGCGGATGGATGTGGGTAACATTAAATTGTTTGTCATGGAAACAGTGTATAGAAGATGACAACCATTGCTCAAAGTTCCTGCCCCTTACCCCTTGTCTTTTACCCCTTATGCCTTACCCCCAAACCCCTTACCCCGTACCCCTTACCCTTGCATGTATACTCGTACCCCAAATTCAAATGCATTTTTTACCCTAAATCACCACGGAAATGACAATTTAAATTTCGTTCAAAAAATATAAAATGTCTGTTTTGACGAAATTGTTGTTACAGTATCTGTGTCGACCTCAAGGCTTGAACCCACGACCTGTATATTTGTAACAGTTAGTAGATTGTCGTAGGGTCCGTAGGTAGCGGGGGTTTGATCTGTAGATCTGTAGAATAGAAGTCTTAGTGAGTTCCAGAAGTCTTAGCTGTAGTCCTTCTAGAAGGTCGAGCAAGTGGGCAAGTGGGCAAGTGGGCAAGTGGTGAACCAACTGGAGTACGTTCGCAGTACGATAGCGGTAGGATAGCAGTGAGTCCCCATTCAGTCAGCGGTAAGGTCCAGTCAGTCCCAGGCCAGTCCAGCAAGTACCACGAGGGACTTTGAGCACCATGGGCCTATGGAAAAGGGGCAGACGAACGAGCTTCAGAAGTATAAATCAAGAGGCACTGAGGCAGCGCTCAACCATTCATTCATTCCTTCGTGAGCCATGCGGATGCGCTGCAACAACGACTTGTGCAAGGAGGTCTGCAGTGAGTCCGGAGCCGAAGTGGGCGAGAGGGAAGGAGCGTAGCATAGCGATAGGGTAGAGGTGGCCATAGCCACACTAGCTGTAGTTAGTATTCAACGTGTGTGTGTGGGTGAGTGTTCAGAGAGACGCGTGTGGGATATCCAAGGTGATTCGATGTATGCGAACAGAGAGTTGTTTGGGCGCTGAGTCGCCATAGACATTGAAGAGTGAACTCGTACTTGGGTTGCCATATCTCTGAGTTTTGAGCGGGCGCTGCGCTACTGTTTGCATGCATGTAAAGTGTGAACGAGAACGAGTCTGATTGCATAGGTGCACTTTTTCTCAGTCCAAGCCTCCGTCGGCTCATCCACAAGATAATGGGTCTCCCTCCCTCCACTGCTCAACATGCTACCTACATTTTGGGCAGTTTCTGGACCAGGTTCATTTAAATGAGTCCATTATCACGAATTCATCCATACATGCAGTGCATTGTGTACTGGAGTCAGGCTATGTGTCCATTCAACAGGCAACGGGTTTTGTACAACGTCCTTGTACTCGTTGAACACCCTCGGGGTCCCCGTTGAACGATATAACGGGGGCTTTCTGTTGAATTCCGATCAACGGGTCGAGCGCAATGGGGCTCGGACACGTGGCGGGTCACGCATGGAATAAAAAAAAAGTAAAAAAAAAAGTAAAAAAACTACCCTGTGTGTGTGTGTGTGTGTGTGTGTGTGTGTGT